TGGAGGTTCCTCAAAGACCTTCAAATAAAACAACTATATGATTCAGCAATTCCACTGCTGGGTATCTACCAAAAACACAGGAGAACTCAGTCGGAAAAGCACTTGCACAAATATACTGCAGCATTATTCACAATTGCCAAGATATGAAACCAACTCAAATGTCCACAAACAGATGAATGGATCGAAAAAGTTTGGCATGTATATTCCATGGAATACTATTCAGCCATAAAAAAAAAAAACCAAGGCCCTGTATTTGATAGAAAGTGGATGAATGTGGGTGGGTGTTTGTTTTTTGAACAGCTTTTTGCTATAGGGCGTGTGCGCTTGCCAGAAAGACAGAGAGAGAGAAAGTGAGACATCATCCCCCAGGAGGGATGGCCACTCCACAATCCCTTCTCCTTCATTCTCCTCTTGGGATCCTGGGCATGCATGCACATGAGCCCCGTGTGAGTTTAAGCCACCAGGTTCAAGACTTGAACCGCGGTCGACTACATGGGAGTCCAGCGACATAGCCATTATGCCAACTGCTGGTCCCAGAAACTGGGTGAATATTGAAGATTTGCTGCTGAGTGAAGCACGTCAGGCTATGAAAGAGAGACACTGTATGTCTCCACTTAATATATAACTGTTGCACTCTATGGTAGAGACTGAAAGTCTGGAGGACATAAAAACATTAAAAATTGTTATGGAGAGGAGGTGGTGGAGCACGATGGCACGGGCGGAACAGTGCTTGTGAAACTGAACACAACTAAAGTATGGCTATGGGAAACCAACACCCCTCCATCAGTAGGCTTCAGGAGATCCAGAAGGAAGTGAAGAGCATAGAACAGCAGGTGATCGGCTTCAGTGATCTGTCACATGACAAGAATTACTAGAAGCTGGAGAGGACCCTAATGAAACAACTGTTTGAAATAGACTCTGTAGATACTGAGGGGAAAGGGGATATCCAGCAAGCTAGGAAGAGGGCAGCCCAAGAGACAGAACGCCTCCTTAAGGAGTTGGAGCAGAATGCGAACCACCCACACCGGATCGAAAACCAGAACACTTTCAAGGAGGCCCAGGCCTCGTGAAGGAGAAGATCATGCCGTTCCCCAGTGGAGGCAGCTGTGTAACCGATGAGTTTGAGGAAGGCATCCAGGGGATCATCCTGAGGCTGACACATGTCAAAACAGGAGGGAAGATCTCCTTGCGGAAAGCGTGGTATCACACCCTAACCAAAGTCTGTGCCGTGCAGGAGATCATCGAGGACTGCACCAAGAGGCAGCCTTCCCTGCCGCTTTCTGAGGATGCACACCCTTCCGTGGCCAAGATTAACTCTGCCATGTGTGACGTGAACAAGGCCAGGGGCACTCTGATTGCACTGCTGATGGGTGTGAGCAGTAACGAGACTTGCAGGCACCGGTCGTGTGTGCTGTCGGGGCTGATTGCCGATCTGGATGCTTTGGATGTGTGCGGGCGTACAGAAATCAGAAATTATCGGAGGGAAGTAGTCGAAGACATCAACAAATTATTGAAGTATTTGGATTTAGAAGAGGAAGCAGACACTACTTATGCTTTTGACCTGGGACAGAATCATTCCATTTTAAAAACAGAGAAGGTCAAGAGAATGAGAGAAATAAAAAATGAACTTCTCCAAGCACAAAGTCCTCTGGAATTGTACCTGAGCTCCAAAACAGAATTGCAGGGTTTGATCAGACAGCTGGATGAGGTAAGTCTCGAAAAAAAACCCTGCATCCAGGAAGCCCTGGAGAAGAGTAAGGCGCTCACCTGCGATGAGCACCCCTCCCACAGAGCAGTCTGGAGTGTCCTGGGAAACTTGTCAGAGGTCCAGGGAGAAGTTCTTTCATTTGACGGAAATCGAACTGATAAGAACTACATCCGGCTGGAAGAGCTGCTGACCAAGCAGCTGCTGGCCCTCGATGCCGTGGACCCGCAGGGGGAGGAGAAGTGCAAGGCTGCCAGGAAGCAGGCCGTGAAGCCCGCCCAGAATATTCTCAGCTATCTGGACTTGAAATCCGATGAATGGGAGTACTGAAGTGCCAGCGCGCACAGCTGGGATCACTTGTTTTGCACTACGTCTATGTAGTTATAGAGTGCTTTCAGTTCATTGATCTGAATGTGATTTATACATGCATATTTCAATCTCAGTATGTATGATTTAAGCAAATTATATTCATGACCTCTGCTGCTTTTACTGTTGCAAAACAAATATTACAGCACATGAACTTTAAAAAAAATTGTTATGGACACAAGAGATAAAGTGGAAGGAGAGTGTGGGACGGGAAAAGAATAGGAAAGAAAACTTAAGGGAAAATAGAGAGGTAAGACATTTGTGGGACACATATATGGTTTATTATCTGTTGATGAGGATGTGTATAGTATTCTCAACTGGTCTGTACTGAGGTGTATATCATGCTGGGTAAAGTCTCTTTACAATCTAAAGGATGTACAGTGATCGAATGCATAAACAACAATAATAAAAAAGATGTTTAAATCAATTATGGTACAACCAAACAGTATATAATATTCAGGCATTAATAAGAATTAGGTTTTGGGAATGTCATGACTCATTTTTCTATGTTTTTCTATGTAAAAATGCATGATGACCCATAGTTAAGGGTTATCTAGTAAAAATCTGAAAATATCACTTATACATGAGATGTAAAATTACAAAAGGCTTTGTGAAATATTATTTCCATTTTATTTTTGAGAAATTAACATGAGGGTCTTAAAAAATCATGTCAGGCATGTTCATGTGTGCCTAAAATCATGAGAGGAGAATGATGTAGAAGGAACTGTGGTGTGGCCATCCCCTTGGTGGGATGATTTCTCACTTTCCCTTCCTCTGTCTCCAGTGAACACATGTGCCCTATGGCAATAAATCAATAGATAAAACCATGAAGTTCAGAGGTGAACTACAGGTGAAGCAATAGCAATACTGTGAGGCTGGCCTACATAGGCAGGTCCAGGGTTCACGACCAAGGCCTCCCTGTATATGCAGGGTACCTCCCTATGTTTGTATGTTCTTATGTTCTCAGCTGGCTGGGGTTGAATTGGAATCATGGCATGGGGCTGCTTCTCCCTCCCTGCTCTCTTGGAAGAAATAAGTAACAAACTTACAAAAACAACTTGTAGGCCAGAAGGCCATGGATTGACACATTCAAATCTTAAAGGGAAATACCTGAATTTTTCCAAGAATCTTACCTCTAGGGCTCTCTCTAGCGTACAGAGGAAAGGCCTTCTGAGGACACAGAAAGGAGGCAGCTCTCTGCAATCCAGGAAGTGATCATCAGAGAGAGACAGAGAAAAAGAGAGAGAGAGAAATAGAGAGCAAGGGAGAGAACTGGAGAAAGTGAAAAGCAATCCCCACTGGGAATGATCACACCACAATCCCTTCTCCATTTATTCCTCCTTTTGGGATTTTAGGCACATGCACACATACACACTGGGCGTGTTTTACGATCTGCCAGGCTCAGTACTTGAACTCGGTGGTCAGCCACATGGGGTCCAGCTGCCTCAATGACCATGCCACCAGCTGCTCTGATCATGGACTTCTAACATCCAGGCATCTGAGAAAGTAAATTTTTGCTGTCTCAACTATCTGGCCTTGGCATTATGTTCTGGCAATCTGAGCAGATTAACACAGGTTTTGTTATCAGAAGGAAGGTGCTGCTCTACCAAGTACCTACCAATGTGAAAGTGGCTTTGGAACTGGGTGATGGGCACAGCTGGAAAAGTTTTGAGGTGTTCATAGAGAAAGCTTAGCATCCCCCAAAGGGATCTTCTGTAGTGAAAGGAAGCAAGAAAAGTAAGGCATTTTATGTTAGTCAGGCCTTAAGAGAAATACTTTAGCCATGCTTCCTGACCATGAGGGAGTCATAAAAACTGACTGCAGTATTCTGGGCTGTGGCACAAAAGATTGTAGTTATGTAAACTTACCCTTGAAGCAAGACATAGAAAATAAAATAAAGCTCCACGCTTTAATTGTTAGCTAAGGTGAAAGAGGCAATAACCTCAGAAACAATTTTGTAAATGTTCTCTTTCCTCTGTATTCCCTTTGTCGCCTTTAATTGTAAAAGAAAACCCATATTTTGCCATTTCTGGGCATCTGTAGCCTTGTCAAGTTGACAAGGGATAAAATTACTAAATGCTAGTGATGTCTTCGAGGGAGCAGGTCAGAGACTACTCTGTGACCTCAGTGCGGATCAATGCGGGTAAGGTCTAAAAGTGGGACAAGCAGTTAGCGTAATGGCTATGTTGCTGGACTCCCACGTAGTCAACCGTGGTTCGAGTCTTGGACACGGTGGCTTAAACTCACGCCAGGTGCATGTACGTGCGTGCCCAAAATCCCAAGAGGAGAATGGAGGAGAAGGGATTGTGGCGTGGCCATCCCCCCTGGGGGGTGATTTCTTGCTTTCTATCTCTGTCTCTCTCTGTCTGTCTGGCGAGCACACGCGCCCTATAGCAAAACTTCTCAAAAAACAAAAATTTTTTTAAAAAAAGAAAAAGATAAAGAAAAAAAAGATCTAAAAGTAAGACCTACAAGAAAGGGGTCAACACTCTGGCAACAAGAACCAGATGAATTCTTTGGAAGCAAACAAGGAGAGGTCAATAGGCCAGATGAATTCTTTGGAAGCAAACAAGGAGAGACCAGCAGGTGATGACAAGGGAAGAAAACCAGGTGGAGAACTCTCCCAGTAGGGAACTGGAAGAAGACCGACCCTGTGTTCCCTTCCCTGTTGCCCTTCTTACTTGTTTTTAAAGTTCCCCAGCAAGAGAGGTGGCATTGCTAATTAGATAGGACAGATTCCCTGTTGTTACCTGGCCAGTCTTCCTAGTGGGCAACAGAGTCATATAGAATGAAAAAATGCAAAAGGTTGGAGAAAAGATCTCAAGCAAATTCTAACAACAGCAATAAAAAAGCTCTGTAGAAAAGAAACATTTCATATTGGTTAAAACAAACAGAACAACCCCAAGTCAGGAAAGAACCCTGGAAGTTACCTTTGATTCTCTAGCCACTCATACCCGAAACTCAGCAATCCCACTCCACTCTCCATCCAAAATGTGCTGTGAATCCCCCACTGCTTCCCATCCCCCCGGCGTCACAACCTGGTTCTGGTCCTGTCTTCTCTCATGCGACTTCCGCAAGGGCTCCTTGATTGTCCTCCCTCCTTATCTCCTCACCCCACGACCAGTCTACTCCAGAACCCCAAGTGTGCTAATCTGCACAATGTGGGCCTCAGAGCACAGGCCCCTGCCCAACTCTGACAGTACTCTGACACGATCCCTGTCACCTGAGCACGTTGACCTCCCTTCTGTCCTCCAATCAGCCACAACACATCTTGGTGCTTTTGCTTTTCCCTCTGTCTGGAAGGTTCCTCTCCTACATCCTCAAGGGCATGGCAGCCTGTTTAAACGTCATTTCTTAAAAGAGAGGAAGATAAACATTTTTTTTTTTTTGGCTATGGGAGTATGTGTGCAAGAGAGAGAAAAAGAGAGAGGACCCCCCCACACACCACTGGGCATGTGGCAACACCGCAGTCCCTTCTCCTCCTCTCTCCTCTTGCAATTTCAGGCACACGCACATGCCCAGCATGTTCCTCAAGCTGCCAGGTCTGGAGGTCGAAGTGTGAAGCTGGACATGGGATCTGGTTGCTTTAACCTCCACACCACCTGCTGGGCCAATAAAAATAATCCATTTATATGGGAGCGTAAGAAGGACTGGAGCTGTCTTCCAACCTATGTGTTACCTTCATAAATAAACTTCTGAAGCTCAGGTCTATGAACGTTAGTCTTTGAAATGCGCGTTTATGACGACAGCAGAGAACTGAGGATTCCCCTTTAAAACATCCTATTTATTTCTCTGTAGAGCACGCATTCCATGAGACTTTGCTCCTGTATTTGTCTTTACCTCCCCAATAGGAGGCACCTCTGGTCTTGTTTGTGACCATGATCTCAGAACCCTGGACAGTGACATAAAGTAAAGGCTCCAGAACTACCTATTGAATGATTGTCATAAACTCACATGCACCCCTTCACCTATCAGCACAGCTTTAAGATACACAAGGCAAATATCAATGGATCCATACAGAAGAGAAATACACTGATAGACAATTGCAGCGGGGGACAAACCCACTTCCCTTAGAAACATTTGCAAACAGCAGAGAGAGTGAAGAACTTTTGTTATTTTTTATTTTTTAAATTTATTTATTTATTTTTATTATCATCATAATCTTCTTTCTATTACATTGGATTACATATAACTTTACATTGACTTCCATTGCTTTTTCAAAAGGGAATGCCATGCATGTCAGTCAATACAGAGGCATCGATCTCCCCGCTTTATCATTCAAAGTCTTTTCCATGCATTTCCCAATAATTATTATTATTATAATTTTTTAAAACAGTCAATCACTATTTCTCATTTTGCTTGTTAAAAGACTTCACCCATCATGAAATACTTCCCAGACCAGTCCAGTTGAGAATACTATACACGTCATCTTCAACAGATAATAAACCATATCTGTTTCTCACTAACATCCCCTCTATTGTTCACTTGCTATCTTTCTCTATCCTCTTCTCTTTTTTTTTT